AACAGGCTTGATGGGAAAAAAGTTTAGTGGAAGGACAGCAGGAGAAACGGGTCTGAGAATCTTGGGTGTAAAGCGGGGGTAAACAGGTGAGGTGAGTAATTCTTTCCATCACTAGGGGGCTTCTTTGGTGACCAACAGACTGCAGTAACAAAAAGAAAAACTGAAAGACCCAGATGTGGGGAGAGGAGAGTCTGAGGTGTCGTATACGAGGGGCTGTGTGATTAAAGAGGATGGCACTTCGCGGGTGGAGAGCGGAGAGGCAGGGAGACTGGACTCCTGCAGGCAGAGAAGTGGATGCAGGGCGTGAGGGTCGGCTGAGAGAGACACTAGTAGAGGAGTACTGGAGTACTGACTCAGTGATACACACACCATGGGTAGGTGTATATCAATATTAAATGAAGGTCTGTGTGGATGGTCTCACAGACTTCAACCAACGATAGAGTAATTGTAGCTAAGATGAGTATTAAAGCCCAAATCATTCATAAAGGTTATTACTTAAATTAAATAATCAGTTTGATACAATAGTGCCAATGATGCTTATTGCATAGATAGAGACCTTCAAAGGAAATTTAGCCTTTACGATGCGACACTCAGTGTGAAGTATCCAAGCCAATTGCCTGATTTCAGAACAGAATCCTGTCAAGCCTAACATGGATGAAGCGATGTTCTATAAATTCAGCTTAAATGTTTGTTCTTTCACAGTTTGGTTTTTCGATTAGGGATCCCTTTGAAAAACAGAGGGCAATGGCGTGCAGCTCAGCTAAACACTTACAATGGAAGCATCAAGGTGATTTATAGAGCAAAGAAGCTGGCGAGTCTTCTTGTGTAATTATAGTGGTGTGAATTCCTATTTTCCTTAGTTTCAAAATTCACCTCCAGGTTCCTCACGGTCACCTGATTACCATAGACTTAGCACGGCTCAGTAAACCTTTGTGTCTTTGATTAGTCAGGGTGTTAAATAATTTTTCGGTGGATCGTTTCACCAGAAAGATACAATGGTACAATGATTCGGGGCCTGGTGTGGCTTTGATTAGAAACTGTCTCCCTGAGGGACGCGTCGCGTCTTCCTCCACTGCCCAGTTGGTCGATGATAAATTCCTATGCTCATTCTGGGAAAGACGGCCACTGTAACACTTCAAGGCTAGTTTGCTGGGCGGATGCCCCAACTTTGCAAATTGTCTAACAAATATGGCGCACCTCGTAATAACAGCACACACTATCAGGACTGAACACTTTCTTTTTTGATTGGTTTATCAAGAAGGCACACTATCATTAGAGAAAAAACGGTGGGAATTATATTTTAGTTTTAAGGTCCAGGGCATGAATTTCTGTATGAGTGTCCATGCATGTCTACCTGCATGAGGAAAAACACGGCTTGTTTGAAGTTCTGCATGAGCGCCCCTGCATGCCTATGTGCATGAGGAAAAACACGGCTTGTTTGAAGTTCTGCATGAGCGCCCCTGCATGTCTACCTGCATGAGGAAAAACACGGCTTGTTTGAATTTCTACATGAGCGTCCCTGCATGCCTATGTGCATGAGGAAAAACACGGCTTGTTTTTTGTGCACCCGCTCCGTCGTCAGGAGAAGCAGGCTGTCGCCTCGTGAGCGTCTGGGCTTTAACAACGGACGCAGTCAACACAGCCACGGCCATGAATGTCGATGACTGCAAGGTTTCCCTTTCGGCAAAAGACAAAGCTTTTTCTAAACCGGTGACACTCCCATCAATCTGAGTATCACACACGGTCTGCATGTCTCTCCTATGAAGCATAATTAGCACTGTTTTATAACAACTTATAAGCCCCAGTCTGAAATCCGGAGAAACACCAGTTTATGCAACCTATATACCTTAAACTGAAATTTCCACTACCAAATGTTTTCTGTTTAATGTCTGTTGCTGCTAAGCTATAAGTCAACAAGTATGTTTTAACAACTTGGCCCTAAGTTATTTAGTTGCAACAATTTTGACGATTCATTAATACTGAATTTCTGTTCTGCAACAAGATCATCAGCATAATGAACAGCCATTATGTGGCTGATATTCCATGTAAAGGTATAAAAATGTGGGTTTGATAAACCATTGTAATTATTGTGAAACTGTAAATATAATATGCCCTGCACAGTAAAGCACCATCTATTTTATAAGCCATAATATCCACAGAAATATTTTAGAGGTTCTGAGATGTACGGACTGTTAGATCTTGCAAGTCATGCAAAATTATTGGCAGGAGACTGAAAGCATTTAAAATCAATTGTTAGAAAGATGGGGAAAAAATCACAGTTCCTGAGCAGCTCCAGCAGGAATCCTGAAAAAGTCAGGAAATTCTTCAGCCATTCGATTGATACTCTCAGGCTGCTGGTGAAATGTACTTCTCCACCATCAGAAGTGGCATCTGTCTGTCTGTTTTCCCGGGGTGTGTTTTTGAAAGATGGATGATGATTATACACTGTAGCTCGGCTTCGATGGACAGCCTCGCCACCAGCTAGTGCCGTCTGGAGTGCCTCTGTTCCCCTTACCAGAGAACAGCTCTCATCAAACATCCACTCCTGAGAAAAACAGCCACTGTCCTGATAGCTGGGTCTCCATCTAAGTACATTTTGAGTTCCTCTGCTGATTGTCCCTCAAGTATATTCAGCTAATTGCCCATTTGATCACGGCTCCTTGACAGCCTTTTAGTGGCCATAGAGATCTTATGGCTAATCTGTGAAACCGGAGGGTGAGGATGAATCATTACAGCCGTTTCGCACATATTTCGATATTTGGATTCGAGGCTATAGATAAAGCAAAGTATGAGAACGTATATATTACAGACGTATCCCAAAGTCACCATTTATAAGTCACAGCATTCATATGGTTGTTTATTAGTGTGTGCAGAGTTCCCGCATGAAGGAGAAGTAACGTTTAAAACTGCATCATAAATGTTCAGCTGCTTCAAAGGCATGAAAGGACGGTATCAAAAGTGCATGTAACAGAAGTATACATTTAATTTCTGCTGAAGATATCGTTTCAAAATCTTCCTCCTTTTGTGTACTTTGCAATAAAATAAATTTACTTCACTTTTGACAGCCTTTGGAGAAACTTATAATACATATAACTGAAACATAGGCTATGAAATTTGGGTATTTTTTTGTACTTTAATATTTTGTTACATTGGTGTTAAATATCATTAACATATTTGCCTCAGTTACTTAATTGGACCTTTATATTAATTTGTTGTGAGTATCACTTCACATAATTGTAATAATGCCAGCCTTGGTTTTCTTGTATTGCTTAGCTAAATCTGAGTAATATGTTTTAATGGTATCTAACGGTAACTTTTTCAGAAACAAGACTGAACAACAAGTCAATTTCTAAACTTGGCACTCGCACATCCAGTAACACTGTGCCAGTCGTGAGGTAACTGAAGTTCTTCCAAATTGGCGACAATTTTAATGAGCGGCAGATTAGAAGTGGCTGGTCGTCTGGCGTCTCCTCAACATTCAATAACCGGATTCAATAACAATGGTTTTCTATAAGTGAATTTTCAGTCAATCTGCCCAACTTAAAGATGGCATGTAGGGTTCAGTTCTCAGGCCAATTGAAAGCTTCATGTGCATGTGACACAATGTATCAGACAAAGTCTGTAAAGTCCTGTACAATTGCTATATTAAGACACTGACAGCGTTCATCTACTGACTACATTCCTTTCATGAGATTTTCACCCTGTCACCAAACAAAATATTAAACAGGCATAGTATTCTAACCCCCATGATTCCCAAAAATATATCTGATTCCAAGAAGCTGCAAAAAGAAAATAAAAAATATAACAATAATGCTGTAGACTGATATTTCTGATTAGAAATATTATAATTTTGCCAGTCAATAGCAAATATTTTATGTACTTTATGGTGATGTGTGCCTTACACTTCATCAATCAAGGCAAAAACATTTTTTTCCAAGAAATATTTAAATTGACATAATAAAGATGCTAAATGAAAAACGCTGCTTAAATTATTACTTTAAATTTATGTCACTTCTGTTGATTAAATAAATGAGTACAAGATGTTGTCATGGTTCTTAGGCTGTCCTTCGTCTGACAGTGTTATTTATCTTGCAAACACAACATCTGCCTTGTGGCCAGATGCTCCCATTGCAACAAAAATGATACTTCTGTGGAGAAATAAAACCCGAATGGTGATTCAGAACTGCTGCTATCGATAAAAATGTTCCCGTCGTCCCCAGTGATTGCCCTTTGCTCCTTTATCTGCAAAACATCCCAGCAAACCGGTGTCACGCTATCCCACGATACACCGTGACCTGCATTGTGTATGGCAGGCGCAGCGGCAGACGGCGTTTAGCGGCAAGCAGCCGGGGGCTCTGGGGGACCGTCTGCCGGCGCCACCTGAAGCGAAGGCGCCGCTTCTGCTGACAACGGCTCTTCGATGGAAATATTAATAACTACTCGGAGATCAGAGCGAATAACAAACAGGTGGTCCCAAAGTATGGCGCTTTCCACGGCAATTTATCTCACATCTGGTGAAAAGCGTAGGTAAGTGACAGACGTGGCAGAGGAGTGAAGAAGGAGATATGAAGAAGTATTTTTCTGCGTGGCGTTCGAATGACGCCATTAGCTACCCAATACCAGCGATGGTCGATGGCTGATGCTGCTCCCAACTTTGCCTTTCCCAGTTCCTGAAAAAACTGCAACCTCATTATGTCAAGAAAGCTTGCCCTGTCCCGCACACAACGGCAGCGACTGACTTGTGCAAAGGAACCGCCGCACCTGTAGGGGGCGCCGTATATCATAGTGGGATTTAGACAGGCACATCCTGCAGCAAAAACTTTTGCCGCCCCAAACAGTGTGCAGCAACTGAAGCACGGTGTGGAGCCAACACCACTGCACCCTAATCATTTCACCCTAATTAGGCATGTTTACTTTGGCAATAATCACTTCTAATTTCACGCCACTTTCACTTGGAATTTAATTAAAAGGAGAATGTTAATTTACGCAATCCCCAACCATCTCTGTCTCCCACCTGTGCTTTAATACAGCACACAAAGGAAGATGGGAATCCAGGGCAACACTGAGTCTTCTTCATATTTCCACTGCTGGTGTAAGGTTTCCGATGACAAAGCTGATAATGGAGACCACAGCGTGGAAAGACCTTCCAAGGAGGTAGAACGCCAGGAGCAGTCTGCAGGTAAGATAATTCATCTGTCTAATGGAACACAACCATGTTTCTTTAATTAAAAGCCTGGAAGTTCTCTTTTATTTATTTTTTTTTCCTGATGCATTGCCATAGCTGGGGCACTCGCTCCGCTAATGATGCAGAACAACATGCAAGCAAACACGGAAAATTAATGACCATGACAGAATTTTCTCCACGGTGTATTTGCTGGAGTCCTGGAGGTCTGCCTAGGTCTCGCTAAAAACATCACGGGTGCAGCCGTAGTCTTGCATCCCTCAGCACGTGCACGCTATAAATTTATTTGGAAGAAATATCAAAATCATGTGATGTAATGCAGAGAAGCAGTTTAAGGTTAAGTAAGCTTTAATGCATGCACAGCAAACTGAGATGAAAAAAACCAAACAAATCGAAAGACATCAGAATGAGGAGCACCATGCCGTTAGTTTAAGCCCCCAGGGAACTTTTCTGTTTTTAATAACCCCGGGCTGGACCGGGGGGTGGGGCAAAGGGGTGTTATCCCCACTGTGCCTGGCTCTGGCTCTCCCTCTACCTGCACTAATACACGTTTCATCTCCGCCTGTTTATAATCCACAACGAGACAGTCAATAAATCTGCCATTCAGGCAGGGGTGGCTGCCCAGGATAAGCGTATCCCAGGACCAGAAACGTTCTGATTTCATTATCACAGGGCCACCAGAAGGAGTCACAGAAACGCAAAAGGACTATTCCTTCCAGGTCTGTGTCGGCGGGTCCCTCGCTGTCTGCCAGGGTGTGGAAGGAGCGCCTCCTGGTGTTTGGGTACTGTATAGCACTGGAATCACAGAGTGTAGCAAATGGTTGTGAATTGTCTATGAGTGCTGTATACCGGGCCATGTACACAGTAAAAGGGGAAGGTGTCAAATGATTTATGGGTGGTCCAGATGGGGCAAGCTTACAGCTCCTAGGGATACCCAAATGAACAGATGCGGTCCCATGTTCTGTTCTGTGGGATGTTGCAGAAATACATGTGCGGGTTGCGGTTTTTGCTGAGTCATATCGGAAACGCACAATGGTTCTGCACTGTTCCTCGAGTCCGTGTCGGTCTGTGTCGGTGGGGGCAAGGCTGAATGAGTAGGATATGGCGAACAAAGCATAAACATTCAGGCGGGGGCCCTCTCACCCGAGCCCACGCCGCGTCGAATCCTGGGTGGGAGCCTCTGATTGATACTTTCCATAAGTTCGATGGCTCCCTGTTTCTCCCCAGGGCCTCTCTGTGCTTTCCTGTGATCAATCACGCCACGCTCACACTTCCTCACCGCAATGTGACAGGAATACCGTAAAGGTGATCTATGTGTGTATGCGTTAAGTAATTATTAAGTGCTCAGCCCCACTGATAAATCATTGGCGCTCTCCCTTCCACAGCCCCCCCCGCACCTCCATCTCATTCCGGTGATAAGAGCAAACATGGGCACTCATTGTTTCATTTGGTCTCAGACCTTCCGGGCCCCCTGCCATCTGGACCGGGGCCCGAGGGCCGAGCCCGAGGTGAGAGCACGAAGCTTTCAGCCAACGCAAACACAAATGAAACCTCAGCCATCGATCGGCTGCAGGCTATCGACATGAAATATATCTTTCATTCCATATACATCCATCTTCCTTAGCAGCTGATGCAGTACAGGGTGATCCAGTCCATCTTAGGGCACATACTCACACACTACTCTGCACAGACACCGATGAACATGTAAGTTCCACAAACACAGTGTTGGGGAAGGACTCAAACTCCCCAACCCAGAAGGTATGAGGTCACAATGATACCTAGTGAGACACTGTGCCACCAAGTAGTCCCCCCCCCCGCCCCCGTATCCATGGTTTCAGTAACCGTGGTTTCAGTAACCGTGGTTTCAGTAGTCCAAGGTTTACCGTGGTCTGAAAAAAATTGGAAAATGGGTAACAATATGTTTTTTCATTGTTCCTTCGTCCTTTGAGGGGTATAAAAAGCATGATCTTGAGAATTAGGCCAGAAAGATCTGAATCCCTTTCATTGGAGACAGTACTGTATTATGCTGTATAATGAACGATGTACTGTACTTTATTACTGTATTTAATGTTGGTAATATCTGTGCATAATTGATCAAGTACCATATGCAAGTACACGAAAATCATGTTGTATATGGGGTCCACTAATGGTTCGTTATTAATGACGGTTTGGCCTATCCAGTGTAGGTCTTGGAACATATCACCCATGGTTACTGGGGGATTACTGCAATTATCCATTGTGATAAAAATTTATCTGACTTTCCATGCATGATGACTGGTTGTATTTAGTTCACTTTTATTACGAATTTTTCTAAACCTTCTGTGTTTTACCTTTAACAAATTTCAGTAATATGTGTAGTATATGTGGAAATATATGCTAATGCTGTACTAATATGGAATCGTAAATCTATATATCAGATTAGTAGAATGTAATATTTGAAATGATAGAGACTATCATTTGCTCAGAAATTACGTTACCGGAACAGTAATAACAGGCCTCTTTGGCGAAGTTGATTTTAAGGCAGAAAAGAAATAAATAACTATGAAAAGTCTGTTCAGACATTTTTCAAATACCAGCTGGCCTTTTATTGGACGGACCAATCCATGACATCAAGCCATGACTATAATTATCTGTTAAAGTGTTTCATTCATTGGCACGTCCGAGAAGGGCCAATCCTGACACGCTTTTTTTTCCTTTGTCACCAGCTGTCCAAGGGGTGCTTTGAGCCCACCTGTTTTGACTGCTTGGCTCTGCTATCTTTCTGTTCTCGGGTGGGGGGGGGGGCGACACGAGGGCCAGCCTTCTGCTCCCTCTGTCAGCCAATCCCACAAGCCACCCGGGAACGCGCAGGCGAGCCACGCAGCCGGTCCTCGCTGACACAAACTAGCCTGAAAAATAACTTCTTTTCAATTGAGCAGTTGGGTAACTACACAATAACTGCACTGGGGTTGTGTACTTCAGTAAACTTAACATGAGGTGCGACACACCCACCTCCTGCACGGGAGTAATCATTAAGCTGTCACCCCCAGCTTTGGAAGACGCTACTGGGGATGGCATCTTATGTAATGTCTAGAGGTAATAATGCAGCCAACAGAGTAGAACAATGTCATTTTATTTATGCAAACGGCTAATGCGCGGTAGATTTTCCTCAAGGCGCACGGAGGCACGATTAGCGGAGTGAAAAGTATTCATCTTTAATATTCGGCTTATGACTGCAGGGGACTTTTCTCCACCATCAGTCCCCTAAATGTATTTGAACACGATGGTCCTTGTGAATTTTACCACAAAGGACAGAGCCAGCAAAACGTAATCCGTCCTTAATGGCAGCAGTGCCTGCTTCATAGAGCCATTCAGATGAGGAAGCAAATCTGTATGGATCTCAGTCTCGACTTTAGGCCATAGTTTCAATTCCATATCAAACTGAACCAAACCAATGACGCAATTATAGCGATAAAAATAAATACTGACCCAACCCAATAAGCAAATATCGTGGTATGTATCACCATGAAATATATGTAACAAAAGTCACATCACTGGTCATTTTCATCCAAATCTATTTTAATAGAAATATTAATATTAAAATACAGGCAAACTGTAACCTGTTATGTACTGTCAGGAAAAAGTACAATTACTCACTGGGGTTACTAATTAGTCACTGGGGCTGAGCCCTCTAGGGTCTGCCAATTGTATGCTAGCTGCAGGTAAATGTACCTCTTAGTCTAATTTGAGGTACAGAAATAGACAGAAAAATGATTGGGGGTTCATTAATGTTGTTTGTACCTTGTGGGAAAAAAATTGTACGAGTACTGAACCCATTTTTCTGACATCCATAGATGTTTTTTTTCCATTTTTCTTTAGGGCTCAGCCGATGTGTCTGCCCCCAGTGGCCTGTAGTTTAACACATTTACACAGCTGCATATTTTAGGGGAGCCAATTAATAAGCTTTAGCGAGATAATAAACACCTTCTGCCTACCCAGGTCAGACCAATCTGGGTTGTCGGGAAACACTTGTCGTCCATCTGCCACACCGCACACGCTCACAGCGGCCTGCTGGTCCGCTGGAAATCAGGGAGGTCATTCATGAGCGGCAGGGACAGGCAGCGGACCGGGTGCATCTATCCAGAAAGAGCGACCACCGCCATTTACGCTGCAAAAGAATCACAGCTCACTATGTAGAGCCTCTCCCCCCCCCCCTCGCAAAAAAAGATACAAATGTGTCTTTACAAAATGGGAGGGGGGTCACGGTTTCAGAAAAGCCAGTGGACCGACGGAGGATTCATCCCTGCAATACTGATGGTATATCCAGTAGCTTGCAACTTCCCCATTTCAGACACCAAATATAACTGAGATTAGAAACCTTCGGGTGTCCACATCCCACAGAGCCAAGAGTACTTCCTTGGCTCTCGGGGACTGAAAACTTCCACTCCATTAATTGCCATGGTAACACTTAATTTAAAACTCTCACCTAAAATGCATTACAGATACCCTCATAATGCATTATAATGGTCGGTATAAGAATTAAGGATGCTTTGTACTGCATTACAAAGGTATCTATACTGCATTATAGATGAGAACTTCATAGAGTTTTCATAATGCATAATTAACATGGCTATAATGTGTTGTGCCTTTTTATAAATATTTATTGATTAGATTAGATTAGATTAGATTAGATTAGACTTTATTAATCCCACAACGGGGAAATTCTTTGAGAAAACAGCAGCAATAATGAAAAAAAGACAGTACAAAAAAAGGACAGGATCCATAGGATCAGCAAAAAAATAACAATACAGATAATAAAAACAATAGAAAAACAATTTCTAAAACTGTAAAAATATATAAGTAAAAATGTAAGAAAAAAGAGACATATACACAATGCTAGGTATATGGATAGCAGCTGCTGAAATATATATATATATATACATACACACACATATACATATATATATACACACATATGTACATATACAGGGATTATATATATATTGATTGATTATGTGGTCACTGCAGTGATGTGTTGTAAAGTCTAATAGCTGTGGGGAGGAATGATCGACGGAAGCGCTCCTTCTTGCACTGAGGGTGTCATGTTTATAATGCTTTATGAATGCATTATGATGTGTTATGAATGTGGTAATAGATTCTTCTAGTTATGAATGTGCTAATAGATTCTTCTAGTTATGAATGTGCTAATAGATTCTTCTAGTTATGAATGTGCTAATAGATTCTTCTAGATTCTTCTAGTCATTCATAGAAAGAGTTACCATTGCCACTTTTAAATTTAATAATAAATCCAGTTACAAAATATAAAAAACACTGAAACTCCCCTATAGCTGTGCATCCACAGAGCACCCATTTGTGGTACTTTTTACTGAGGTCTTTCAGTTTGCTAATGTACCTCCTGGATAGCCGTATATTTTATGTTCAGCTGTTAAATAATGTGCTGCAATAATTTCCTAAAAATATAGCTGGAAAATTAAGATCAGCCTATTAAAATAACTGATTTTCTCTGCGAGGTATAGATTTTCATATATCTCAAGTTAACCCCATAGCTATAACATTCACTTTCATTAGGTCAGGAATTTTTATGCAAATACTGTATAAGGTAGGAGGACATGTCATATTGAAAATGAAGATGGTACAGTGGACATCCAAATTTAAATTAAATATAGCCTTTATCAAAACCTCGTGATGCTCAATGACTCCAATATACTACGCAGAGTTACAGTCAGCTCTGATTTCCTCTCTATATTAATCCATTTAGAAGTGGAAATGAAAATTAACTAAGCATGCAATAAGTTTTGTGTGGGGCTGCTCTCTCTTCATGTGAGGAATGCAACATTCAATACAAGTTTGGAGTCATAAAATATAGGGTTATTTTCCACAACGGAGAGGTAAATCATAGCAGAAGTTTCATTTGTGATTAGCGTAGCCACACTGTACATCATGAATTTACTAGACACATTGGTAAATAGTAATTGGTTTGTACTTTCCTGGTTAGAGATCAAGCCTAGCCTTGTTCTTTTTCATAATCTGCCAACTGGAAAATAGACTTGATAGGTCTGAATTGTAAGAAGGACAGGGAACCGAAATGATCTATCGACTTTGAATATGGATTGGCCAGGCTGGAATCCTTGTCAGAGACTTGGAATGATTTTTTTTGTGGATTTATTGTTTATTACTTTTGCTGCACATTTTAAACAATGGATGTAGAATTTAAGTGAGCTGCACATTTCATATAAAATGTTTTTCCAGTTTTGTTCAATGCCTTCATACCAACCACTTCCCAGCGGCACAGAGCAGCAGCGAAGACCGACATGCCTGCTGGTTCCTGTGTTCTTACTGTGACCCATCTACTCTGGTGAGTCACCTGTCTGTATGTAGGACAAGAAACTTTAAAGTGGCTGAGCCACTTCAGCTCTTTAAAAGGCTCCTTAGAACCAACATAAGACCTTCAGGAGGACTAAACATATATACACTACATATAATGTGTGTTTGTGCTTTTTTCATTGGTACCAAAGGACCTTCGCAGCATCTTCAGAGGCGAGACATTAGGTCAGAAGTGACTGATAGACTATGACAGTCCAAGCTTTCATGTAGTGCTCTTCATAGACAGAGGGATGGATCAGCTACACCAGCTTCCACGCATTTCCATCCATCTCCCAGTCACTTATTTAGTGCTGGGTTCTCAAAGGGGACCTGGAGTCTGTCCCCAGCAGCACAGGGTACGGGATGCCAGTCCATCACAGGCCACAAACGCACACTGTGGACCATTTATAGATATAAAGCTGTTAAACTCCGTTCTCTTTGTGCTGCAGCTGGAAAGAGAAGCAGAAGAAGCAAGCCCAGACACCCCTGGAGGAGCGATGCAGCATGGCGTCCACAATGCATCCATTTGTATAAATAAACGGTTCCCAACCCCGTCCTTCGGAACCTTCAGACAAGCTACATTTTTGCTCCTTCCCAGCTCGCCAAGGACCAGTTTGAGAAACACTGGTACACGGTGTGTCCCCCCCAAGCCCCCACCAATTCTTCCTGCATTCCCAGGTCCTTCCTCTTCTTTCCACACTCCCTTTCTCCATTTACTTAATGGCTAGAAAACACACAGACTAAATGATGTCATCACTAGTCCATTTCCATGGCGATTCTAATGACGCCAACCGGATGATTATGGAACACTGATGCAGACAGTGTCCATTAGATAGAGGAGGATGTCAGTGATGTTACCCCCCCCCCCAACCTCCACAAAAAACTGTCATTAGCCTCCATCAAACACAATTATAGGACAAAACCTGTATTATCACTGCAGTGTCGACATGTTCGTTTCAGCACAGCAAGTCAGCCATCAGCCCAGACAACTTCTCTCTGACACAAGGCCCGCCATCGGAGTGTCACACAGTGTCCACATGTCCTCATTTTGGTCACATGGGTCACTTTTGGGTTCTCTAATCTCCTGCCACATGATACACCGGGCAGGGTGGGTTGATGAACTTTAACTGGTCTGCAGTGTTTACCTTGTTACCCTGTGCTTCTATATTCCCTTCAGGAAGCCCAGAGATATTCTTAATATAAATGGATTAATGGTCACTTGCCCAGAAAAAAAAAATATTATTTTTTTGAGGTCAATTGTAGCAGAAATATTGAAGCAGGATAACCTGATATGTTATTTGGCTAAATATCACTATGGATTCTACCCTTCAAAATAAAATATTTTGGGCACCTGAATTTATGGGCATTGGTGGTGGAAGCGCACTTGTAATTGAAAGGTTGCTGCTTTGAATCACTGATCAGCAAAGCACCACTGAGGTACCCTGAGCAAGGTACCACCCCCAAGCACTGCTCCCCGGGTGCAGAATTAGCTGCCCCCTGCTATGTCATAATGTTGCATATAGGTTAAATGTACCGATTTTGTTGTTGCGCAGTGGTGTGTCAACACTGATCTGAAACTACTGGTATTGTTAACATTTTTTGGGGACAGTCCAGTACTTAATTTGTAAATCAGAATGTGCCAGAACACGAGGAGCATATGAGAAGGGAGGGGTACCAAACAGGTGCAGGTCCCAGAAGGCGTACTGTGCAAATCACCGTGCGGAAAACATCTGCAAATTTAAATATATACAGTACTTGTTTTTTATGTTATTGTTTTTTATTTATTTATTTAACCAGAGAGCTGCTGGATCTGTGCAAATAAGTCCTGGAACATAAATAGTCAAAAACAGAGAGGTCCCTAAATGCGATGCGGAAAGAACCAACACAAACTAAGCACTGACACAGCCTATTATACACAGAGGTGGACATTTCAGGTCCAGAAAGTAAAAATCCAAACCAGGATTTTATTTCAACCAACCAGTTGAGTATAAAGAGTAGCAGTCATATAGTACTCAACTGGTTGGTTGAAATAAAATCCTGGTTTGGATTTTTACTTTCTGGACCTGAAATGTCCACCTCTGATTATACATTTGTTACTTATACAAGTTCACTAATAGATTTATTGTGTATAATGTAAATAATGAATGAACTGCTCCAAAAGTTTGAAAAAGCTGGAATTCAAGTAAACTACATTTGATTAATTCAGCATACAGTCTGTTTACTTAACTATTATTACAAAACACAATCCATTATGAACCAATACAAAGACAAAACAGGGCAAAACACCAGTAACGGCGGTCATGGTAAACACAACTCAACCAGAGCTAGCCACAGAAACCATAAATAACAAGCACAATAACTGACAGATTAGGATATAAAATGTGTTACTCTACCTTATACCATGGTACGCCTACGAAAGGTTATGTACAATAGCTGAATGATTTCTAATGATTATTAAATGAAAACATTGTAACAGACTACATAATTATACATACAGTAAGCGTAAAAATATTGAAACTTGTTTTATTTTGTTATTAAGTACATGTTATTAACTACAAAATGAGTTTTTGAAAAATTGGTTTGTGCACTTTGCTGGTTGCAGAACAGGCATTTGAATATAAATATTTGTTATTCTTCAGTACAAAAAATTATTAGGATTTTTTGTTATCCAAATCAATATCCAGATGTTTCACAAAATTCTGCAGAGCAGTTTAGCATGAATATGAATCTCGTATTTCATAACCCTAAAAAGGCTTACATTAACTCAATAGATTTTTCCTAATTTTATGCTATTGCATAAATATACAATAAACGTAAAGGGTTGCTCTAAAAATCAAATTCATACACAAAACGTTTTGTCCTGTAAAAAGACAAACAAATGGCACAAAAAGCAGGAAACAAATTATTGACTTTGTTTTGGTTATAACTCAGAAAAAAGTACAAACGGTTTGTTGAATTCAAATAAAAACTAATAGCAAATGACATTAAATGATCTTTGATTTTGAAAACGATTCATAGCACATTATTTGATGCTTCAACTAAATTAATTCATTTTTTTCAAAAATAAACACTTTGATTTTGATACTTGCAACATATTCCAAAAAAAAGTTCAGACAGTAAAGCATTTGCCACATTGTGATATTGCCTTTCATTCTCACAGCACTTAACAAATGCTTAGGAAGTGAGGACACCAAACAATAGTGTGAGGTCTTTGTTGTCGCATTTGGCATTTCAAACTGTGCCATACATTCTTAGTTGGGGACAGGTCCGGACTGCAGGCTGGCCAGTCACACGCCTGCGACCTCTTCCTATGCAGCCTTGCCTTTGTAATGCACACACAACGTGGTTTTGCATTGTCCAGCAGTCCTGAAGATAGCATATGTTGCCCCAAAATCGTTATGTGCTTTTTGGCAGAAATGGTACCTTCACAGAAGTACCAGTTACCCAGCGCACTGACACAACCCCAGACCATGACAGACTCTGGCACGTAGACTTGTTGCTGGTGACAGTCTGGATGGTCCTTTTCTTCTTTGGCCCAGAGGACAAGATGTGCCTTTCTTCCAAAAAAAAAAAAAAACCTGAAATGTTGATTCGTCTGACCGAAATGCACATTCCCACTGTGTGGTGCCCCATCCCAGATGCAGAGAAGTTAAGAGATTCCTTAAATGTTTTATTTATACTATGCATTGCTGAGGGTGAAATACCCAAATCCTTTCCGATCTGTCTGTGAGAAACATTGGTTATAAACTTTTGAATGATTTTCTCACATAACCGTGGGCAAATTGGTGATCCTCGGCCCATCACTGCGCCCAAAGCACTACACCTTTCATAGATGCAGCTGGTACACCGAAGCACAATTACAGTCACAGTTAAACATCATCGCTTTTCTTTTTTTGACTCATTATTGGCCCTAAATTGCCCCCTTCCCACTTTTTAGAAATGGAAAACCCGCAATGGAAAGAATGGATGTCTATTTCCAAAAAAATTGAAGTTGACCAGACTAAACTTTAAATATCTTGTCTTGTTCTTAATGGATTGCGAGTTTAAGTGAATTTAGAAATCACTGCTCTCTGTTTTTATTGGCATTCCACACAGAGAGGAGACCCCCCCCCCGCCACCCCAGTCAGTGAAATGTACCTTGAAATTTATTTCCAAATCATTTTTTTCCAATGTAGGAATTGTTAAATCAGCATGGAAATTTTTCATAGACGCCGTACCAATTTCAAAGGTTTATAACAACAGAATGATTTGCAAAAAATTCATGTGAGCATTTGCAGAAACACTTTACTTAAAGCTCTTTTGTATAATGCATTATAGATGCCTTCATACCACATTATAATGGTATAAGCATTAAGGATGCTTTGTACTGAAGCTATCTATAGTGCATTATAGATGAGAGCTTCATAGAGTTTTCATAATGCATTATAAACATGGTTATAATATGTTGTGCCTTTTTATAAATATGTATAGCTATGTTTACAATGCATTATGAATGCATTATAATGTGTTATGAATGTCTTAAATTGTTATAGACATGGCGTTCACAGAAAGTGTTACCGTGCTGCTTTTTGGGTCTGATGTCTGAGTTGAAGGGTTTATTTAATGCAACCTTTAAACTGTAGCATATGATCAAGCAGGCCTTTGGCAGGGGTACGCCTATGTTCTTGAATGTAGCTTGAGCTCCTTAGTCCTCGGCCGTAAACGTAAAGGCATGGAGAGACTCGCAGCCGATTAAGCGGGACAAGCCAAGCGGTCCGGTCAAGTCGGGAAATCAAGCACGGCTCACTTTTGGGCTGGTACTATATGAGTGACATTTCACTTGCGATCAAGGTTCAGCAGGCAGCATTATGCAGCTCATTAAATGCCATTAGTGGGCAAATTTAATCTCCTCTTGACTCCGTTGGTGCACAAAGGACTTTTTTTGGCATTACAGCCGTAGCATGGGAAGTGCATGGTTAATGAGGGTGAATGCCATCACCCAAATGGCGCCTGCAGGGCGGCGCCAAGCATATCCACTGCCAGGGGTTACAGGATAAGATCTGAATCTAATTATGAGCCGACAAAACTGCTGATTAATGCCAGCAGGGCTTAGATTGTATAATATGCGCACGACTTTCATCAACATCTACGTACAAAGCTAGCAACAATGAAGTCTAAAATAGATGGGGGAGGAAAAAAATAAATCAATATGCTGATTTGAGACAACATATCGTATGCACAGCATGCTGGGGGGGTATTTTATTTATGGAGAATTAATGGCTTTTTCTTTCCAGGAATAATTGATTGGATAAACTATTAGAAAAGTATTAAAGCCAATAGTTAATAGTAGTGGATCTTTTCCTCTGGTAACTAGTTTTGTTGATAAATGCGTTATTAAATTGCTGCAGGTCACAGCTGTTAAATTTGACGGCTATAGTGTGCATCCAGCTTCAGGGAAATAAATTGGGCTGAAATCTTCATTTAATGATAGACTGTTTTGCAAATAAACAAATATTTGCCTTTCGGTTAGATGGATTTTATATTAATGACGGGTCGCGGTGGAAAAGGAATGTTTCTGAGGTTTA